TCATCGATACCGGCACGTCTTACGCTATGCTTCCTTCGAGCGACTCGAAGACGCTGCACAGTCTGATTCCTGACGCCACTTCTTCTGGGAACTACCACATTATCCCGTGCAACACAACCGCTAAGCTACAAGTGCAATTCTCTGGTGTGAATTACACCATCTCGCCAAAGGACTACGTGGGAGCAACCTCTGGTTCTGGATGCGTTTCGAACATTATCAGCTATGACCTTTTCGGCGATGACATTTGGCTCCTGGGCGACACCTTCCTCAAGAATGTGTATGCCGTGTTTGACTACGATGAGTTACGGGTTGGATTTGCAGAGCGATCCTCGAACAGCAGCTCTACGTCGAACTCTACGAGCTCTGGAACAAGTAGTACCTCGGGATCCACAACAACGGGCAGCTCAACGACTACAACGAGCTCTGCTAGCTCTAGTAGTTCTTCTGATGCTGAATCGGGAAGTGGAATGACCATTCCCGCTCCTCAGTATTTCTTCTCTGCTTTGGCGATTGCTTCCTTCATGCTTTGGCTGTAATCAGCTTTGGGGAAAGGCTTCCGCGTCCACTCGACGTCTGAAACTCGGGAAACGTGTGCATTATTTACACTTGCTGCTGATTTGTATCTGCATATTTTCTAGAGTCTGGACAGCGTGCGGGTCATACTACCTTACATTCGAAGTCTTTCTCTAATCAAACAACTTTCATTCTTCATCAGTGCTTACTCGCGATAACCCCTATCTAAACGAAATGGTATAAAACATTGCATCTGCCATCCACTATCCACTATCAGGGATATTTAAAGAACCTTGTCCGGGATGAGTGTGTATGACTTCGGGTACGATTCTGACAACACCATTAGCTTTCATCCCAAGAAACCATCCTGATCACCTTACCTAGTATAGACTTATCAAAGTCCTTAACGCTATTGTACCCTCCAACAGCCATCAAGATATCGAAATCGGCCAACAGCGACTTCATCACATGACGAACCCCCTCCTCACCCATGATACTAAGACCCCAGATCCAGAGCCGACCGACGAAAACAAAGCGAGCTCCCAGAGCCAGCGCCTTAGCGACATCGCTGCCTCCACGAACCCCAGAATCAAACATGATGTAAACCTGATCACCGACCGCATTGGCAATATTCTCCAACGCATCAAGACTCGCAATAGCACCGTCCACCTGTCTACCCGCATGATTGCTCACCACAATACCATCGACCCCATACTCAACGCACTTCTTCGCATCCGCCACAGATTGGATCCCCTTGATAGCGAACGGCCGACCCCCAGAAATCTTCTTCCACTGTTCAATCAACCAGGGGATCTTCTCCCACGACCAAGCACGCCCATGCCAAACGGAATCAATCCACTTGGCCGACGCAGCCACCACATCCTTCTCCGGATCGATGCCCGCCTCGCGACACCGTTTCTGGAACACCGGATCCGTCAAGCCAAGGTCCGCCCCGATGCCGCGGTAAAAGGCATAATTGGAGTTGGCGACGTCGTCATGTCGCCAGCCCAATTGCCAGGTATCAGTTGTGAGAATCAGCGCATCGAATCCGGACTTCCAGGCCCGGTTGAGCAGGGACAAGGTCAGCTCGTCATCATGTGGCATGTATAGCTGGAAGAAACGGGGGCTGCCTTGGCCGTTGGCTTCGCCGACTTTCTCGATGGGAGTGCTCCCTGCTGTGGAGAGACAGTAGGGGAGGTTGAGTTCGCCGGCGACTTTGGCTACTGCGAGCTCGGCGGATGGGTGGTAGATCTTGTTGATCCCGATGGGTGCGAAGCCGATCGGGGCGGATACTTTGTGGCCGAAGATCTCGGTGGTGGTGTCTCGCTGGTTGGTGTCCACTAGTTGGTTGGGGATGATCCGATGACGGAAGAAGGCTTGCCGGTTGGCGAGGTGGGTGTTGGACATGCCTGCGTTGGAGGATGCATAGAACCTGGATGGGTTAATGAGGCATCTATGAGAAAGTGGAATTTACATACCAGCCTCCTTGGCTTAGCTTCTTGTGCGCCTCCTCTTCGAGCTTTCTGGGGTCTGTTGCACAGATAGTCTTGTCAGCGAGCAAGCAAGGTGGGATGGAGTAGGGATGTGGAAGTGGTGTGTACCTGTGTTGAACGGGACAGTTTGGCCATCGTTTACTTTCCAGAAGTTCTCACGTTGGTACAGAGCCCATTGGGGGGTAGTTCGCTTCTCAATGTTGGGGTTGGTTGGGTCACTCATGGTTGCAGTATAGAAACAATGTTTCTTGCGGTTGTATAGAGACAAATCAAGTATAGACAGATGTGATCTATATGGAGATTCTATCTGATATAGACGAATTGCAGAGATATACCAAAGATATTCTATAATGCAATACTACGAACAAAAAAGAAAAACCACAACAGATATACAAAGTAAGTTAGAAGTCCAATTTATACTTGGGATGACTTCACCTTGACGCAGCTCTCGGGCGAGAAACCAAATTGGTTCCTGAGGCCACCCAGCTAACTGGCATGAAGATCAGCTTCTGCCTGACTCGCAGTCCCTCTCTCTCTTGGTCACACCGGAACTCAGGTACAGAGTAGCTCCCTCTTCACGGGCGGCATAGTTGCTCCTGTTAATGGCCCCTTTTAGTGCATGAGATGGTCGATATCGGAGGAGAGCAGCGGCGATGATGTCATTGCACAGTAGTCGGGATCATCACGATTCATTTTCTACTTCAACTTCACCTTTCATCCCTTTGCTAAGTAAAAGAATCATTCTACCTCCGTTTTACACAGCAGGAATGTAAATATAGATTAATGACTCACCTTGCCCATACCGAACCCGACATGTCAGTTCAGGGAAATATACTTTCTCGCGTTACCGACTTGCTCCGGCCATTGAAGCCGGAGCCGGAACAGCCGTCGGGAGATCCGCTTCAACTACCGAAGCCGAAAGTTCATCTTCGTGTTCGACACATCATCTTGATTCATACTTGTCTCTTCTTTCACTTTTGCATCTCTACACTATATCCAGAAATCTATTCATTCGGATAGACAGAAGAGAATTGAACACACCATGTTCGGCTTAAGTACAAGACGCTCCGCCGCGTCGCGCTCCAAATGCCTTACCAACACCCCGACCAGCTTAAGTAGCAGTGTCCGCTCACCTGCGCACCGATCTCTGCTCTCAGCCCGCGACTTTCACCCCAGTCAACACAATGCCGCGTTCCGACCTACTTGGATGCCTATGAGAGTGAAGACTCCTTGGATTGAAGCACTCACGAAAAGTCGCGAGACTGCAAAGTCTAGTCAGGGGGCTGCTGCTACGCCCTCGGCGAAACCTGATATGACGCCGAAGAAGATGTCGGATAGTTATTATAGCGCCGTAGGTGCACTTGCTGACCTCGGAGGGGGGGACAAGCTAATTTATGGGTCTGTCTTTAGGTTCTGCCTTTGGCTCAGGATAAATGGCTGCTTGATACATATCTTAATGCTTCGGGACATATCAGGTGAGTGCCTCTGATATCTATTTTGGCGGTGATGATTTACTGATGGATGCAGATTGGGGTCCCTGCTTATGGACCTCGATGCGCTGGCGGGTGTCATTGCCTACAGACATGCTGGTGACTCGGTCACTACTGTCACGGCGGCCGTGGATCGCATTACCATTGAGCATCCGCTGATGGAGATCTGTGACCTCGAACTCAGCGGTCAGGTCACGTATGCGACGGGTCGCTCTAGTATGGAGATCTCCATTCAGGTGGCCAAGGCTCCTGCTCCGGGAAAGGAGGTTGAGCCGGAGGATGTGCTCATCACCTGTGCGTTTACGATGGTGTCGTTGGATCCTGCGACGAAGAAGTAAGCCGATGCTACTCTACTGTAACCGTCTGGGTACTAACATTGGCACCTCAGGCCCGTCAACATCGCCCCCCTAGTGGTCGAAACAGCCGAAGAGCGTCTCCTCTTCAAGCAAGGCGAAGAGAACTACCAGGCCAAGAAGGCACTACGATCCAAGAGTCTTCTCGAGACAGCCCCCGATGCGGAAGAGAGTAACCTCATTCACTCCATGTGGACGAAGGAAATGTCCTACCTCAGTAAGTGCCCTCCACCAATCCAATATATAAATCATCAATAACCGAACAACAGACCCCGAAAACCCCGCCCAACGGCCCTCCAACAACGTCTTCATGAGCGACACCGTGCTCAAATCCGCCATGATCATGCAACCCCAAGACCGCAACCGCCACAACTTCATGATCTTCGGTGGCTTCCTTCTCAAACAGACCTTTGAGCTTGCCTTCTGCTGCGCCGCGTCCTTCTCGCACTCTCGCCCCAACTTCATCTCCCTGGACCCTAGCACGTTCGAGAACTCCGTGCCCGTGGGTAGCGTGCTGTATCTGCGCGCGACGGTGGCGTACACGGAGCCGCTGGAACGCGAGGGCGTGGAGAGCAAGTACACGAAGGTGCGAGTGCGGGTGGACACGAAGGTGAGAGATGTGGAGCATGGAACTAAGAAACCCACGGGAATGTTCAATTATACCTTCCTCGTAGAGAAGGATGTGCAGGTCATGCCCAAAAGTTACAATGAGTTTATGATCTGGACGGATGCTAGGAGACGGTCGGAAAATGCGGCGGCTATGTTGCATGGGTCGAAGGAGCCGAGTGCGTTGAGAGGATTGAAGGATAGTGTTACGGAGTAGATACTATTATTAGTATGGAGTTTCGGTGGATAGTGTAGACTTTTAGATGTTTTGCAGTTGGTTCGTTCTGTATCATAGTAGTGATATGTAAGTTGTCATGTCAACATATTCAGGTCAACACTAATGTTCAATGTGAACCTTTACGTATTCAGACAACTTATGCTTGTGTCATTAAAATTACATTTAACAATGATATTTATTAGTTACCGCATAGTAGCAGCACGATAGTGAAATTCATATTGTACCAACGTCCATCTTTTCAATCTATGCCCCTGTCACATGACATCATCGATCAATTCCCCGCCAAACCAAACCAAAACAACAATCCCTCACTACTTCCTTAACAAACACTCCCAAACCCAACTATACATAGAATAGACACCATGTCAATGTCCCTCCAAAACATCTGGCACCTGCGCCGAGTAGCAGACACAGCCGCCAAAGCATGTTACATTTGCTACAAGCCATCGAGTAGTGTATTAATCACGCCTGATAATCGGGTATGAGGCCCCTTTCACTCCCCTCAAATCTCCATGTTTCCCTTTTGAGATATATGATTATAGTTTATTACTTGAACAATGAATTTTCCTGTCTGGACACTGGCTAAGTATGCATCAGGACTTCTTCTACGTCTGCCCCTCTCACCTCCAAGACCGCCACTTCTGTTCTCCTATTGTCGATACAGAAGCGGCGGCCGCCAAGGCCAAAGAAGAGGCTATGGCGAGGGAAATTGAGAGGGTGAAGAAGGATTATGAGGAGAAGCAGCAGCGGAAGAAGAATAAGGATGCTGAGAAGGAGAAGGATAAGAAGGAAGATGATAAAGACAAGGAAAAGGATGATAAGTCTGCTACGAAGAAGGGGGATGAGGAGGATAAGAAATTGCAAAGGGAACGGGATGACAAGGTTTGTTCTTCTCTTCACATCTCTATCTTCTATGTTCCTGCTTGGCTTGACATGTATTCGCTAACATATCATAGATCGAAAGTATCAAGAAATCGACCACTTCGTCGGATGACTCGCCGAGGGTATTTGCGTTGCATAAGTATTTCTCTCGCTCTTGTATGGGTTCCCATGTGATGTTTGCTGATTTGCGTAGGAACTTCTATCAGATGCGTATCGACAGGATGCGCAATGCTGAGATGGCTAGAAGGAATCGTCAGCGTTTGCAGGATCCTTCTCTGTTCCCGTCTGTCCCGACTGGGGGGCTGTGAGCTTGAGTCGGAGCTGCATAATAATGTTCTTGTGGATGGATGCAGGAATGCTGACGATGTGGACGGGCGCCTACAGTTTACCTCCTGGGCCGCCTGGTATGTCTAGCTTGTGGCTGGATCCTTCGGTGCTCACCGTGGTTGTCTCGGGCTTGAGTTGCACGGCCTGGATTGAGTTGGATGTGATCGCCTGATGAATGTATGGCTGATGAGGAGCTCAGTGTCAGATATCTGAAGCCGCTGGATAGTCGGTGTATTCCACACGGGTTCGCGACGCGAGTACATCTGCTCGTGCGTGAGAAACTGTCACCGCGCTTTGCAAGGCGACACGCCACATGTCACGACCAAGTCAATACTTCCATACAGACAACAACTGCTATACCGGCTTCAGTGCTATGCCTAGCTACTACATCACTATTACTCAGCTCAAGCGACGATCGCTCAGCTCCTTACCGACATATTCGTCACCCAGAAACTCATATCCGTCCTCGCCCATTAGAGAATAGCCATCATTACGCGGCTCACCGGAAACAGCTTATGCTGTCTCACATTTCCGGCAAGACACGGAAGCCTTAAGAGACACTTTGCACAGCCTTAACGGATCCCGGAAGTACCATAGCTTCTAGAAGCGAACTGCCTGCCTAACGGAGCCGAGAACGCAGGGCGTCTGACAGCCTTACGCGATGTCAAAACCTACAAGGCTACAAACAAGGGTTTGCAGCCTAATCCAGCAACCCGATCGGAGCTTGTAGTACTCATAAGACATAAGCAGATGACCGAGTTGTGTTTGAATCAGAAAGCAACCTGCACCGCTCGTATTGAAGAACAACCGTACCGGCTCCCTCCTACAACAAACCCAGAAATAAGCGCCCTCAAAGAAAGAAAAACAGAGAAATAGAAAACGCGCGGACCATGCCCAGAAACCCGTCACATGCACTATGCTCCATAAGCGATGAAATTAAGCATCGATGTGATGCATGCGTAGTTAGATAAATACAACATACAACATACAATATAGATAGACAATGTAACCATCCATCTAACCCATCAACAACTCTGTAATACACATATTAGGCAGATAAATAACTCACCCCTCATTCCCTCCTGACCACTCCCCTACAGAGTAATAAAATAATACTCCCCTAAGAAAAAAGATAGTTAGTTAGAAAGAAAAGGGAAACTCCTCATGCAAAGCAGTGGATCCCCAAACGAGGCAGTGCAACTTAGTATCACCCAATCCCAATCATCCAGGACTAAACTCTTAGCCCCTCTCTCTCTCTCTCCTCTCTCTCCTCTACTCTCCGTGTTAATGTCCCATGTTCTTAATGCACTCAGCTATACACACTGCACAGAATATATACCCATAGTAAGGGGGTGGGTGAGGCGAGGTGACTCGGTTAGGTTTTCCCTGACCTAACTAACCAACTAGTTAACTAGTAGTTGTTCCCCCCGACCCCCCGACCCAAACCCCATTTTTCAGCCCGCGATATAGATAGAATAGATAGTAGTGGTTATTTTTTTTTGCCCTGTAGGGCGGAATAGATTTATCCCTATATCGGTATCCCTCTCTTTATTATTATCATTGTTTTATTATTATTTGTTTCTGGTTTTTATGGGGTTTGGTTTGGTTGGTGGGATGATGATGAGGAGGTGTATTGTAAATAACGCCAAGATTAACGACTATATCTTATACTGTGTCTCTACTGGATAGTATTTATTCTACTTGTGATGATCGTGAGATGAGATTGACGTCATGTAGGGCGGAGACTAGAATACTTTAGGTAGTAGTAGTAGAAGTAGATAAAGTACAGTTGTTTTTATTAGGGTGGGAGGTAGAGGAGAGTATAGTGCTATATTGCTTAAGGGGGTTTGTGTTTGAGAGGTGTTTGATAGTACTTCGTAGATGGGAAGGTAAGAATCTCGTGGTATGGGGCGTGAGAGAATGATTATTATCCGGGAGTAGTTGGTAGCTACTAACCTACTTGTTTAGGCAGGTAAGTAAGTACTTATGATGATGATGAATGCAGGATTGCCACTTCATTATACTACTCCATTCTATGTGTATATACAAGGCATTAATACAGCTGAAATGAAAATACAGAGAGTCCTACTGCACCACAACAATACCGGAAAGAAAGGTAATCTTCAAAATACGGTATGTACCAGCCCGGGATCAGCTCATCCATGGCTAGCGCGCCCCAGTTGCGTAAGAGCAGTTTGCACAGCCCCCGTGCCGGCGCTAGTGAAGCAGCCTAGACCTTCGCTAGTTCTACCCACCCTTCTCTCCCCCCCCCAACCTAGCCCGGATGAGCAGAAAAGCAGCAGCAGGCTTGGCAAGTTACAGTTGTCGCGCGCGCCGGGAATCATTAGTCATCGGGGAGGCCCAGGAACTTGTGCCAGGCCCCGAGAACTCTGTTTTATTCTCCCCGATCTGCCCTTTTGGCTTCGCAGATCCCGGGTCTTACGTCACCGCCTGATTGGGTGCTGCTAGCTGGGGCCCGTGGGGCTGCCTTAAAACAGCCTCGTGGGGTCGGTGGGGTTATGCCCTGGATCCTGACAGGTCCTAGCGCTTAGAAGTTCTACAATTTCCCCCCCTCTCATTCCCTTCTTTTTTCCCACCCGACACGAGCTGAATTCAATCAGTCCTTCTAGGCTAACTGATTTGACAAGATCATCTGGCTTGTAGCCGCCGAGGCTTGAGTTGGGATAGCTGAAGCTAGTGTGGTGCATTTGCTCTCATTGGCTGGGTTCTTGCTTGCTGGACCGATAGTAGTAAAACTGTATGTCTATCTCGACCTTGCTCTCTGTTCCAACTTGTCGCGGGATGATCGGCATCAGGGTCTGAAACCTGTCGAGCGCAGACCATACCCAAATCTAGTCTAGACCCGAGTCTATATTGTGCATAGCTGCGTTGTGTCCTTCCTTTTGTGCCTTCAATAGTGTACGGATTCGGGCTATTCCGCCAGCCTCCGCATACCATAGCAGAAGCTCTGAACGCCACACTTGCGTGCGTGGCCCGTCTATTCACGGACCATCTCTGTCTGTTTTCAGTTCAACTATCGTTTTCCTAAAATTTGGAATCAGATGGCGTCGCTTCTAATGCCACGTGACGTAATTTGGCTCTGCGACCCGCTGGTTCGTCATTTAAAGACGTGGCTAAGGGAGCCTATCAACGAGCATGCTTAGACTTCTGACGGAGCCTTGCTGCGCCGTGATCTACCCCTGGCGAAGTCAACGTTAGGTAGCGCTACCAAAGTCTAAAGGTTTCCGCGTCCGTTGCTCTCATCCGTGGGATTAGACCGCATTCCAGGCGGCAGACGAATGCCCATCGCAGCTGGTAAGTTGCCTGGTCCGCGGATAATGTTGACCCTCTCGGAAATGTCCACTCTCGCCTTTGCAAGGCCAATCGCAGGGACAACCCACTCGCCGCAGCTACATTGCATACCTTGCCAGGCAAATTTGCCAATGTTAGCTCCGCAGGACGAGTTGGGGCAGGTCAGACGGCCAGACAAAGGGGCGTCTTCTGGCGGCGCTCCATAAGGCGAGCTGGAGGTTTCTCCATCGGTGCCAGGAAAGAGCGACGGGCGCATCCACGTCAGTGGGTGCAAGAAGACATGAGCACAATCAGCCGTGGATGCTCTGGCGTTCCTTTGAGTGGTATGAGGGATGATGAATTGCGTGGTCGCCAACTTGCGCCTGGTGATGTGGTCAGGAGGAGCTCATAGATAAGCTTCGAAAGGATCGTAATTGAGACTAACCGACATTTGCGACATTTGATCTCTGTCATACGACCCGCAGGCTCCTGTGATTGGCGCGGCTGCTCATCTTCAAACAGCACGGACTTCATCTCGGGTGCTCGACCACATGCTACACTCTCCTCCACCTCGCGGCGGTAAAGCCACCGGCTGTAGAAGGGGTGGCTGGTAACATCATCTGGACATCCCATCTGATGGTAGACGGAGAGCTGCTCCATGAACCCAGGATTTGGCTCACATAGCGGTCGGTTCTGTCTGATGATGTCAAGAGCGGACTCTGGTGTCAGTGCGCTAGGCTGACGGTTGAGCAGATACGCGATACAGACAGTGGCTGATCGGGATTTTCCCATCGCACTATTAACAGTCAGCACGCTTGTCATTTTCGAAGCGCAATCGAACATCCTTGTTACACAAGGTCAAGTGGACAATATGGATCACGTGATGTTAAAGCACGGCTTCAGCAGGCATTATAAAAGCACAGGACTAAAGTAATAGGAAGGGGTAGGGTACCAGTCCTGGGTAAAGACCTGAGACCAGGTCTTACCAAGGAAACATGTGGAGATATCCTAAGAGCAGATAAACAAGGAAGGACTAAACTAACCAATGTACAAGCACTCCTCCGCCGGCATCAAGACCGGACTGGATGAACTTTACAGCAGCTGGGAAATGTTCTAGTAAGTTTTCATCGTCGACATCGTCGACCTCTATGCAGTGGTGTTGAAAAGACTCGAAGATATCATCAGCTGGTTGGAGGCGTAACACGGAAACAACATGTGTAATGTTTGCTCGAGTCAAGGCTGCCTTGTTCTTGAGTGCCAGTATGCTACGTGCAACTCGGTGTTAGCAAGCTTTCTGAGAGCAGAGCGCTATAACCCCTCTTGGACCCTGGCCCATCATATGACGGGCCAAAGGAAGGCTTAGTATGGTAACAGAAAGTGAGAGACAAGGTAACCAACCCTCCAACATAGATGTTCTGTCCGGGAATTTGATTCATCGCCATGATGACAGTCTATCGAAACAGCGATCTAGATGAATAATGATGGCTCTAGATCGGGTCGACGATGCGAAAGAGTATGACGATGATAAGAGGCAGAGTGGCCATGAATGATAGCCAAGATCGGACCTGAACATTCGATATGGCGCCAAGAAATTGTGACGGCACCTGATTGGCTGGAGGCAATCCTGCAATGGCGGCACGTAAAAAGAAACTTAGGGTGTAGGGCAAGGGTAAGGGTAACATAACAGCAGCAGGAATTTGACACCTAAGGCATTAAGACAGACCCCGCATAACTTAACGGTCATTCCTTCGGCCGGCTTTGGCATGCAGCACGGACTTGGCCCAGCGTATTACGCTCTTCCTCTATACGATCATTGGCAATAATTCTTTTAGAGGAGTGAATTACACGCTGCACAGCCCCCTTGGTTTCTCTAATCACTTCGTTACCCCTCATCCATCCCGCAAGTCTACAAGATGTGTGACATGCAATTGGCTCCCCATTAGCCAGCGCATCCAGCTCCTGGATCCCCGGGTCCCTCCCGCTGCCAGCGTGATCCTCATCTAGGCCCCTGGTGGCACAGAAGCGCTGGCTCAGAGGGCGTGATATGTCCGGAGCAATGTTGGCCTAACGTCGTTGGCGTATCAGTCTGGTTAATTGAAGCGGCAATTTTTGATAGGAAACCAGGAAAGGCCTTGTCGTACTACTGCAACTATCGAGACGATCTCGACCAAATCAATAGTCGTTTGATCCGTCACATTCAGAGCCGAGGAGGCCAAGGCAGTCCCCGGTAGATAGTTAGATAGTCCTCGGTCAGTCAGGCTCAGATGCTAGTGCTCGTAATACTAGTCTAGTGCCTACCCAAGCAACTAGAATTCGCCGGTTCCGGTCGTTGATCTAGCTCATCGCTTAGGCCTTGTTTGCTGCCAAGGCTTCGAAAGCTGGTCTGGAATGGAAATCGCACTATAGTCCGGCCGAAGTGAATGCTAGTGGTATCATGGTCAAGAGTGTGCAATCCAATTATATGGTCTATGCGCAGGTATAGTTTGGCGTGTGAATCCTCTAGCGCCTGATTGTATCATATTCGGTGAGACGTGGTTTGCCTGGCTAAAGCAGAGTCCTACCTGTAGTACGTATCAAGTACGTGTTCTATCCATCCATCCAGCAATAATCAATCCATTGCTGGCATTTATTGGCTGCCAACCAATTTCAGTCGCCGAGAATGGTAATGCATAGGTACGACCCAGGCAAGCGTTAATCACTGACAGGCCAAGAAACAACCAGGTTTCTTGGTCCACTGCGCGTGTAAGAGGTAATTGCTAGGTAGATAATGCTTGATTCAGTCTCCCGTGACCAATCAAGAAGTCGATAAAACTTGGACAAGAAGAAGCAAGCATGAACCGCATTTAGAAACAACTTGCTACCCACCTGCAGAAAACAAGGGCTATCTTATCATCGCAGTGTAACCAACCACCCATATTTTACCCAGAAAGCCCGCAGGGTAACCGTATTGCAGGGTGGGTTGTGGACTGTCTGATGACTTGGCTTCTAGTCCACATATGCAGCCTTACAAATTAAATGGATTCCCGACAGGACTGAAGCATGCCAAATACGACCAAATCATTTGATATGACCAGAAATAGGTGCGGCAGGTGATGGTTGCTTTGCAGGGTCGGAAACTATCATGATACCTATCAACTATCGATCACTAATTCAAGACACGGCCTGTGCACGAGATTTAGTCTGCAGCCCCTTAAGGCTTAAGGCTGACGGCGCTTTTTGTACGAGAGATGCTAAGCCTAACCCGACCTTTCTCCTCGGACAATTATTACTACTTACTACTCCTTCGTACATTCCTTTCCTTGCTTGTGCGGGTTGCCTTATCCTTTTTTCTTTTCAACCTGTTGTACCTGCCTCTTACAGTATGTGGTGTCAATACAACGGACGAGCCATCCAAACCAGCCCATTAATAACCTACTTAGTACTTACGGTAGTATAGTAACTTATCAAAAAGGACATGGTTATCTGATGTCCCACCCCTGCTGCACTAAGAATCTATGAAGTTAAGTTAGTATAGTAGTGTAGGTAGCTAGGCGGATAGAACACAAGCGACCGGGGGTCTCATTGGCCTTGCATGCCCATGCTAGTTGTCCCATTGTGTTGCTGCCCTGCACGAATCGGGCCAATAAAGTCCGATAATTGGAATTTCCTGAAGGACCTACTTAATCAAATAGATGGATAGTTACGGAGTAGTAACCTCCTGCGAGGTAAAACCGAAGTGCCACCACACACAAACGGTGTAATTCCCCCGAATTGCCACCACTACAACCACCTGGGTAACTACTACTAACTAACTAAGCTGTGGATGCATGAGTGCGTGTTCAGTCTGTGCGACGGTTGAGTTTAGTTAGGTTGGGTTTTGTCGGTGGGCGCGTAAGATTCGACCAAGAAAAAGTTGTATCTATAGCAGTTTAGCAGGAAACTAATACTAGAAAACTATAGAGGGAAAAGAAGTTTTATTGAGTCTCCCCCTCCCAGCCCCATTTCTTGGCCGTAGAGATTGAGTGGTGGATTGTCATTAATCGTGTGTGTGTGTGGTGGTGGTGGTGGTGGTGGTGGTGCGCATTAATTGATTGCATTTTTACACAATAGGTTCGTGAAATATGGTCCATGCAGGAGGAATTCAGGCTGATTGTGGCAAAAATGGGGGTTGTTTAGTTTGTCTTGTTGACAATACGAATTAGATAACTTTCATTTTTCATGAATGTGCAGCCAGACCAGAGTCGGATAGTAGACTAAACTGTTTGTTGTTTGCAAGAAAAGTTGCCTTGTACGCAGATCTGTTTCCCCCCTTTCCTATTTATTCTATTTTATTCGTTATTATTATATTTACTATTTATTTCTACAGTTTAGTCCTGACACCTTTTTCTGGTACCTCAAAACTGACGGAGGACGGATAGAAGTTCGCTTGTTACATCCGATCCGTTAAGTCCGGGTTATGGGTTACTTACTTTACCTGTATGGGACTGGACACGAGACGAGGGCCAATTTTGCTTGCTGGCCAGCTGGCTGGGAGTCTGAGAGAGAGACAGATGGAGACGAAAAGGGCGAGCAGGGAAAGTTGGATCAGAGAGGGAAGGGACAATCAACTGATGATCCACAGGAGAGCAGAAACAAGATCAATGAAGAGAAAAATTGGCTAACTCCGCAGTTATGTTCAGAATTTCCATGTCTCTCTTTTGCCTAGGCCAGTTTATGGAGTATTTTCTCTTCTTTTTGTCTGTTACTACAAAGTATTTGGCATTGTGTCTCTTACCTGTTGCTATTCTTCACCGTAGAGTGTTATCTACTTATCAACTATAGATAGTCACCCACCCACCCCTCTATGTTGAATTCCACGAGCAAGCACTGTTCGCTTAATTTTCAGCCCTTTGAAAATTAAATTATTGAAAAATTGATTACCTAGAATTCATGGCCCGCCCTTCCCCCCTTCTTTTCCTACACACATCCCCTTATGCCAGTGTTTCCAGGGAGTTCCTCGGATCGCAAGGTGCGACGGGGGGAAATGCCAAATGACAGCAATGTGGCAGTGCATGTATCTAAGGCCAGAAGTGGACCCCGCTAGACCATGATTGGCAGTGGGTCAAGCCCAACAGGGCCACTAATAATCGTTGTGACGGTCTTCCGCAACAACTCACGGTGGGGCGCCATGGAAAGTTGGAGTCGGTTGGAAAAGTACACTTGGGGCCTAGGATGCACTCGGTACCCTACTCCGGCCTGGTCGGCTTTAGGGCCCCTGCCTCTGCTGAGTTATTGCCTACCTTGGATGGATGAACTGATGGACCTCTTTTCTGGAATTATCCCTGAATTGGGGAGGTAATTGTGTGATTATGATTATAATCATGTTGATGATGACGATGAAGGAGCAGGATGATGATGAAAAGGAAAAACACAAAAGGTGGCGATAATTTTCGTAAAACTTAAAAATGATGCTGTCCCTGTATTTGTCGAAAAATGGACGCGCGCGGGTAAGGCGACGGAGAAAATAATGGGCAAAGCAAAGCAACCACATTTGCTGCATACCACGCTTTTGGCAACTTCTACATGTTAGTTACTGTGTACCGGGCTGAAGGTACACCCAGAAGGGTAAGTAAAAAAAAGCAGACATAAAATAATGACTCTGATAATATACTTGAGATCGGGCTAGCCAGCCCCAGTGTTTTCCGTATTCTATGCTCCCCTATCAAATTCCTTTGAAACATTCAGTTCTTCAGAATGAGAGTGTACCACTCACTGTATGTATCTAGTATGACCCGCAGTCACTCGACGCAATATTAGTATCACCGGAACTTCTGGGATGAGCGCTAAGCCGATGAGAGGTACCTGACAAGAACTTGGTCGCCTTGGACTGAAATTGAGAAATGTTGCTTACAATTGCATGGGGGGCATTCGCCTAAGAGTCACCACAGTCACCACCGTGGAGAACGGGCCCCTCTAACCCATTCAACCTGCCACTTTTTGATTGACTATTGTGTCCTGAAATCTTCGCGCCCTCATTATCTGATGACGGGCAAAAACCTTGTTTTTTACCTTTTGCTTTCCCACCACAACCCAATGGTGTAAGTAATAGTAATGGAGCATCGACTGGAGAAGGGGGGGGGAAAGAAGACGAGCCTATGAGACGTTGTCAGAGGTAATGGCTGGTATCCAGTGGGACACAAGTTGAGCAGAGTGCCGAAGAATCAACATGGCACTAAAAGTTGAACTACCAGCACTGCCTCATTCCAATCTAACCGTCCCCAGTCGTCCTTGCACTGTCAGAACCAATCCAGTTAGCCCGAGGCCTCACCGCTCTGCATCTGGAATAAGTCCTGGCCGCTTTCCACCTGCAGTTCCCTGACTCGGTTCGGTCTGTTGGATCCAAGCTTCCTAATTCATCATTCCTGTAGCCCCAGGTCGAACAAGATACCTTTTGTGGTACACAAGATGCCTGCTCGGGTTTCAGTCATAATCCATCCTGTGTTGTTTATTTGCCGCCTTGCGGATGGGGGAAAGACTAGGGGGGAAAATCATAAGAAAAGAAACCCAGACACGTGGGGACTACTTGGTCTGTGATATCCAATGCGTGTCCCCTCTTTCTGCCGTCAATAGTACTGTACTCTTATCACTCTGAGGATTGACCAGCTTCACCTTTAATTAACCCGGGTGACGATGGATATCGAGGTATATGGGGTATCAAGCAAAATCCACTCACATAATCCCACCCTTCTTATCCTTTTAGGCGGGCGAATTATTTTCCTCTTGAGGCACTTGCCTTACGGAATTCCGCCTGCATGGCAGTATGCAAGGTGGAGAGGTCGATACGGGACACGCATAAGCATGGTCTGAAGACATAAGGCGGATTAGACTTTCGTAGGGAAATCCCAAACGGGAAGGTAGGTTATAGTATCGTTAAGGACGGCGTAGAAGGCTCGCAGAAGCTTCAGTGAGTGAGCATGACTTTGGGTGTGTCATACCGCTTGCACCTCACTAAAGCGATCTGATAGATGACGCCCTTCAAGCTGATATTAAATGATTCCTGCGATTACGCCTGCTTACTTTTAAAGACCCTCCGATTAAATTAACATCCTGGCCGATCCATACAAACTGGTCGACGATTTCCTACTATCCCGCGCGGGCTGTGGCAACGGCGCGGTTCTCGAGCCCAGAGAATTAGGTTAAGTGATTTGACAAGTCCCCATTGAAGGAATATCAAAAGAATATCGGATTAATGGTGGGGAGAACAGACAATTTCCAGTTGCCTTGAACGGCTGGTTGTGTGGTTTGTTGTCTGATTAGATTCTTTCTGGATGTTATGATTCCTTCCGGGCTGCTTTGACTTTGGGGAGAAAGGCCCTTGTCTTGTATGTATCTGGTAATTTTACGTTCTGCCGTACTGCAATAACCACCACATGTAATCTGACGAGCGGCAAGTAGATTTCGCAGATGATGGTCAAACAAGGCAAGGGAAAAAAGGAGGGGGGGTTTTTTTTAAAAAAAAAGAAAATAAAAAAAAACGAGGGAAAGGGGGATGGAGAAACGGAAATGCTGACGAGTGAATGAATAATATGGCTTTTAAGAACGACTAGAATAATTGTTATTGCGATCAGTGCTTCGAATGATAAATATAAATGTTAGTTATTTATTCCTGGTTCTGCTGTTTTGTCTCCTTCGCTGGAGCTTCTCTGCTCCATCCAGCCCGGTAGGCCGGTACTAGAAGGTATTATACTCCATACATGACCCCCCTTCGGATTTCTGACCTTGCAAATTTCATTTGCCGCTGGTGCTGCGTGCATTACCGCCGTGACATTGAAGGAAAAGGCACGCTGCTCCCGTTGGCCAGCCCAACTTCAAAGGTGCCCACTCGGACCAAACTCCAGTTTGAAACGGATGTTCAAATACCAATGTTGTATCATCATCGCAGACGACCTTAATATTATCTGCCTTTCTTGCCTTCTTCCCTCTTCTCCTCTCTTCAACTTCCTCTGTCTGGCCGTATCAACTACTATCCTCTTCATTTACCCCCCTTTCAGCCTTGAATTCTGCCCGTTTCTTGGGTGCCTACGGAGCGAGACTCAAATCGAGAACCCCCCGACTGTGAGACAAACGAAAAACAGGGAATTAAGTCCTTGCAATTACAGCCCATTTCCTTTCCCCGAGCCTTGTAGGGACCGTAAGGCCGGGGTCTGCAACCACACCATTTTTCTGCCCATTCTACATCAACCTATCTATTTATCTATCTACTACATCTACACCACGTCTCTTACTTTCTTGATCCGCTACCAAAGCTTCACCTCTGTTCTCGGTTTTCATATCCGCTGCGCCTAGCAACGGCAGTTCCAGTACCTCCACCACAGCGCCTGCAGGTCTTCTTTTTCGCCTCCGCGACCTCCGCCCGCCATCGCCCTCGAGCCATTCTTTCCGCCGCCATTAGCATTGCGCCTCAATCCGCCTTTTCGTCGCTGAGAATAGGTGCATGTGACTTTCAGCTTTCTGACAACATCCCATTTTCGCCTCTTTCTCCTCGTCTTTCACCTCTTGTTACTTCGCCTTTTTTTTCGCGCCAACTAGCTCGCTTCCGAGTAGCCGGTTTTTCTTAGAGAAAGCACCCTCAGGTCTCGATCAACTTCAAGCCTCCAGGTGCAGGCATTGAAGAATCAGCCCCTTTCTTACTGATTCTCTTCTCATTTTCGACCCAATCCAATCCAATCCAATCCGCACCTATCCTCGAGCGCCAGTCTATTCCAGTCAAAGTCCTTCAGCATGTTTTGTGGTCTCTGCGCTGTTCGTTGTTAAGTTGCCGCTATCCGGCAGTTTCATGGCACACAGACAGTTTCGCAAGCTTGTGCCCAACTGACAGAAAGCCACTAACACAGTTGATCGCTGGTACTTTCAACGGTTCCTTCCAAAGAGAACACTTAAGTTCTTCCTAGTCAGGTAGCGTGCTCTTTTTCGATAATTTGTATGCGATCAAATTCACCTGACTACTCAGGACTTAAGCTTAATCTATCCGGATTGCCACTTCCCTGCTGCAGAACAACCATTTGACTTCGTCCACTCCTTTACCGACAACCCCCGCAGCATTTGGAACGAAACTTAGAAGCAGGTTCTTCTGTCAAGAACATCGATCTTTCGTCACAGTTCTTTAATTCCGGCTTCGCGAGCTATTCACCAGAACGATATACACTGCTTTGTATCGTCTACGCCAGTGCACGCTTACACGTCCTTGACCCGTCCTTTTTGTTGTCCATGAACAGCTTCTCGCCAATTCTTGTGTACGATGGACATTCCGCGACTTGCGCCTCCTTCGATTAACGTGTATGACTTCAACAGTGGTAGTTTTGAACACCAGCATTCCCCCGCCAGATCGCCTTGTAACATGCCCGGGCAATCGTTTTCGGGACCTATGCCTATTCCAACGAATTCAATGAGCAATCTCGCTCCTCCGCCTTTACCACCACCACCCCGAATCAGTGACCTTGAGGACGGCTACGACGCTGGCTGGCTGCATGCAAATGTTAGAGGACCACACAAACTTGCTCCGATAAATCCTAACTCTAGTCTTTTTGGCGGTCACCGTCGCCCGGAAGCTTCGCCTCAAAGCGATAGAATGGCTATCGACGAGTTAGATGGTCGACAAAGCGGTTTACCTTTCTCTAGGAGTCCCGAGGCCCACATCAGAATTGAACCCCCACCACCGATGGATGAAGGGTTCCGGAACGCCATTTCAGTCAACATTCCCAGCCCGATTCTGAAGGGGGAGAGAGACTTCTCTCGACGAAGCGTGAAGGATTCATCAGATGCCTACGACCAACACCTCTTGTCGAAAATAGGAAAACCGCTATCTCCACGACAGTCTATCAGCTCTGGTAGCGAGAACAAGGGCTTACTTTCAACCCTCACTATACCCTCGAGGACTTTTGGTGGTCTCCCTTCTCCCGGTGGTTCCGAGGGGTCTAGTCTTGATGTCAGGTGGCCGAGTAGCTACCAGTCGGGTGGGATATCGCCTGGGACCAAGATTGGCTGGAAAGATTATGTCGGAGGGCGGAGTCCAAGCGTTGAGAGTAGTGCCCCATCGTCTGCGGTGGACTATGACCAACCAGGGTACATGCGCGACCTCTCGCGCCGTCGTGGCGGTGGAACGACTCCCCTATACGACGAAACCACCAGTCTGCCCAGTCGATCAAACCGAGGAAGCTACGACCAAGGCGTCTTCTCTGACATAGAAGGCGAATTTTCAACTGACGAATCGCTTCCCCCTCGAATCTTTAATGTCCGACAAGCAACGCCACCTTATTTGGAAGCCACCAAGCCAGGCACGAAGCGGAGAGCGTCCTCTCCTCCCCGTGAGCCAATTGTTGGCGATAGACATGTTCTTAACGTGGCCACGAGTAACGGGGACCTCTCCCAGCGACGGACAAGTGGCCATCCATTTGGCAACTCTCTATTGGTCAATGTTCCTTATGCGCCCAGTCACGGAAGCCTCTCAGCTGCTTCATCCTTGAGCCTACGAACCTCTGGGTCTTACTCCTCGACGGCCTTCTCTCTAGGGGGAAGCAGCATGACGAGCTATGATCGCTCACCCGGGGGACTGTCGCCCAATTCCGACCTTGACACCTTCCATGATAAGTCGATTCTCAACCCTAGTTCTCCCGTGAATCTTCCGGGCCCGTCCATCTCGAGAAATCCCCCAAGTACCGGCACCTTGGAACCATCTAGCGTCGACACTGCTCGGAAAGTATCCATGCAAACGACACTTGCCCTGCCAAAGCCAGCAGGACCGAAGATGGGCGGACTGTATATTTGCGATTGTTGTCCTAAGAAGCCCAAAAAGTTCGACAGTCCAGAGGAACTTCGGTAAGATTTATTTCGTTTTCTAGTCGCGGCTGGTTATTTTGTCTAACATCTTTCACAGTGCCCATGAGATGGAGAAGCAGTACTCATGCTTATACTGCAACAACCGCTTCAAGAACAAGAACGAGGCAGAGCGTCATCAGAATTCCCTCCACTTGCGGCGTCACTCTTGGTCTTGCGCAGCCCTTCCTGGATATCAAGCAGCGTTCCATCCCTCGTCTTCTTCAGCCCAAACGAGCCCTGGGCCTTCTCACGACATTTGCGGGTACTGTGGTGAAGAGTTCCCGAATTTCCCACAGCCAGACTGGGACCGCAGATTCGAGCATCTTACAGCAGTGCACAAGTTTGGAGAGTGCAACAATGCGAAGAAGTTCTATCGTGCCGACCATTTCCGACAGCATCTGAAACATAGCCATGCTGGTACGAGCGGGAAGTGGACCAACATATTAGAGAACGCTTGCATGAAGGAAGAAGCACCTCCCGAGCCCAAGAATGGCGGTGGCAACGGAAGTGGGACGCTTGCATCAAATAAGATCAACGAGGTCCTCAGTGGTTGCTGACAGCAAATGTGCCTCGCGGGGACTAATTATGCCCACGCCGGCCGATTGCTGAACGAGGCGAATGCTCTTAGCAAGAGTATGCTTCATCTAACCTTCTCTCATATATATACACACATTTCTCCCTAACTATTTCATCACTGCGCCCGTGATCAACCTGGCGTTCAACGGGGATTTTCCATTTGTGGTCCTGAATCTTTGACGCATTTAGCATATAACGGGGAATCTAGGTATCAAAAAATTCACCGGAAAAAGGGGGGAATCTTTAAAAACGGATCTCGGGGCACAGTGGTATTGATGTGACATGACGGAAACATCTTGCTTTATTCAAATCTGTTTCTTTGGCGATAACAAAACTCGGAGTCCTGGACGGATGATTCTTGGCGGGGCGGCTGATCGTGAGTTTGGGTTTGCATTAATGGCCTGCTTGATTTCTTGCTTCTTCCCTTTGTCACTTTTTTCTTTCTTCTTTTAACCTCACCCACACCTGCAAGCATTGTACGGCGATGGTGATTGGGCCAGCTGGGATTGCTTCGAATATGCGCCCGTCTACCTACTAGTACCTGTCTTGTTGTCTTGGAATATGTATGTCCATGTTAGAACGTCTCTGAACCTAGCTAAGTGCTAGGTATATGTATATACCTAAGTAGAACTAAGAAAGAACTAAAATCCCATCTATGGACGGATGGACACTCCTCATCTACATACTGATTACTATCCCGAGTAAAGCCATTGAAGAAGACCTTTGCACCACGGGAAATTCATGTCAGTAAGTAGTAGTTAATGAACTCTAAACCCTCTCATCCACTAAATCAAGTAAACAAGTAAAAATAATACATACATACAGTCAGTTACACACTCACTGACTGCCTGCCCACTAAAACGCCAGAGCAATGCATAGCCAAAACCCACAGAGTCTAGGTCGTAACTTTTCCAACGGAAAGGGGAGGGGGGCATTATGAAAGGAATACCAGCCACAAGGAACAACAACAACGATAACATCGAAAGGTAACGAGAATGAAGAAAGTGACAGTCGAAGCTAACTGACTTCATCCATTTTAGCACGTGATCGTGGCGCTCTAGATGGATGGAGCCAGTTAGGTAGACCATACCATCCAACAGGGAACAGATGTGACTCTGTTTGGAGTTGAATGGGTGATGTGATGTGTTAAAAATTGGTTAAGTAAACAAGCAAGGACACACTCCAACTCCCGAATCAGAATCCCCAAGCAATACGTACACTACATGCCTGCGCCTACGCGCACTACCCTTAGATAAAGGGATCCTCTTCCACGACACCGGCGGCTTCCTTGGCCAGTCGTAAGTCCTTGGGTCCAAGACCGAGGTTCTTGAAGTAAGGACCGAAGGAAGATAGGAGGTCCTTGAGGGATGCTTTCATTGTGTCCAGGACGAGGTCGACGTCGGGGACACGGCGAGCCGCGGCTTGCGCTTCTGGGTTGCTGGATGGGGGGAAGTTGACGTCTGTCCAGTGGGCGTCGAGGCCACCGTTGATAAAAGGTTCGAGGGCCGTGATGGTATCGGTTAGGAGGCGTACGACGGTGGCCACGTCGGCTTGGACCTTGCCGTATTGGTCCTCCGCGAGACTCTTGATGAGAAGGCAGGTGAGGGATTCGGTGGCGTCGATGACGGAGCAGATGGTTGCGTGGGGTGTGCCGAGGACAATGCCAGAGAGGCGACGAGCGTAGGTTTGACGGAAGAGTCGGCCTAATGGGGAGCGGAGGAGCTGAGCGAGGAAGGGGTGCAGGTTCTCGGGCTTGCTGGTTGATGGTGCGGTGAGCATCTTGAGCTCCTGGGAGGAACCGAGCAGCTTCTGCTTGCGTTCCGGGCTCAGCATGGCGGAGGAGGCGCGGTCCAAGACATCGCGGGCCCTGGCGCGTGCGGTAGGCGTCCAGTCTGGGGAGTTGCCGTAAGCTCTGGCGGTGGTGGTGAAGGCTTCGCCGATTTTCTGTTGGCGGGTTGATGCCTTGGGAGACGGAGCGAAGATGTTGTCCGCTTTAGGGGGGTCTGTCAACCGTGGCAGGGAGTGAAGAACGGGCTCTGACTGCTGGACTGGCCCGGGCTTAGGGCCGGATGATGGGTTCTTGGCCTCGCTGATGCGAGTGGTAACGCCCGTGATCACATCTGTGGCGGCTTGCAAGATTTGCGACCAAGCTGCCCCCTCCTCGCGATCGATGTCGTTGAAGATGGCTTTCCGGCGATCAGGAAATCTCTGGCTGATGAAGTACAGCTCCCAAAATGCGAAGGCGCGAACAGTTTCCTTCTTTGCTTTTAGTCCATTCAGCAGGCTGCCGTTGGGATCCTTGGCTTCGGCCGTCAAGGGCTGGCCTCGCTTGAGTGGCTCTTTGCTGAGGAACACGGAGAAAAAGAGGTTGGCTGTCTGCCAGCAGAGAACTAGGAGGCCTCCTGAGATCAAAGTGCGCACGATAACTCCGAAGATTGGCGGGATAACGCCGGGAGGGCTTGCGGCAGATCTCGGGAAATCCCAGAACAGCTTTGCAAAGAACAAAGTGGTGCGCCATGCCGGTCGTCGGAGGACGAATGCGTACGCGAACGGGCAAAGAATGGAAACCAGTATACTCCGTTTCAGCCCATCCTTGATGAGCTGCGGCAACGCTGACTGAAGGCGTTTAGAGATCGATAGCTCCAGCCGGCTATCTTCATCAGCGGAGCCAGCGACCCTCCTGGCAACGGGAAGAGGGACACGATCGTAGTCGTAGTAAAGATGCGCCACTGACTGCGAGACTGCCAGGAGAAAGTGATAGGTATAAAGGTAGATCGCTCTTTCGTTCAAGCTTGCTCGTTCGTGAGGTCTACCATTACTAGTTAGGCAAATCCGAGACATTGCTTAAGCTCGTTGTCGCAGGAAACATACCTAGCTCTGTTCACCAACTCAAGGTGTGCAGTACTTGAAGAAGACCACCTGTAGATTTCACTAAACCACCAGGCGGAGAACAAGTACCAGCCGAAAGTCTGTATAACGTCGAGGGGAACGAGGTATTTGAAGGTGCTGAGAGGGGAGGAGGTTGTCCTGGCACCGATGTGCATCTGACCAACACGGAGGACGAAGACGACGAGACTGCATAGGAAGAGAAGAACTGTGCGAATTCCACATCCTCCAATGGGGAACCAAGCCCATAAGACTATCGAGGCATCCAGGTGGTTAGCGATCACAACTTTTCAAACGCTACCCGGTGTTGGTGTATACCTACAGGACGATTTATCTCCAATAGCGAATGCCACTACATAGCAGACCAAAAGCGCCAGTGCCGACGCATGAACGAACCGTCTGTGCAGCGCAGAGGTCAAGATGCGCCGATACGGGCGAGGCTGTGCTACAGCCATGGTGCAAGGTGGAAGAGGGACTGTGAGATCTCTAGGGAGAGAAGAGACAAAAAAATTTCACTGCATGATCAGGTGACAAAAACAATTGAAGTATCCGGTCGGCCTGTCAGGACGGAAAGCTCCGAAGGGGGGCAAGTGGAGCTTCGAGGAGTGTCGGCGTCGGATGCGACAATAAAGTGAAGCTTTTCGGGCAAAGCATCAAAACACGCACCAGCCACAAACGCCGTGTCATGTGACACCCCACCAGCCATCGATGGCGTCAGGTGAGTGGCTGCCTGCGAATCATGGCACCCACACAGCCAGGCAACCATTGACACCTGACAGCGATAACGTACTACTACTTTAGCAGGAAGACAACCGGCCGGTTGCATCGGCCGGATGATCCCACCTTCATCCATCCACTGTCGCATCTCATTCCACCATGTCGTTTGATCGCTTGAACTCGCTAGAGGCGCAGCCTACAACTCTTCGTCGCTCCGACGATCCCCAATATCGCGATGACCCCGAATTCCATCGTTTGACCGAGGGTCTCTCCAACCAGCTGTTTACCCTGACCTCCAACATCACTCGGTTGTCCGATCAGATTGCCCTTCTGGGAACGAGACGAGACACCGAGCGTGTGCGCGAGAGAGTCCACAAGCTTCTGGAGGATACTCGGGCGGGATTCAGAGATGTCGCAGATGGGATCAAGAAGGTCCAAACATGGGAGGATGTCAGTGTATGTGACACCCAAATACATCACCCCAGTGCGCTGCGATCGGACAAGCAATGCTAATGTATTTCTCACCAGCCCTCCCAAAAATGGACTCAACAGAAGCTATCGTCCGAATTCAAAGCTACCTTGGAAGAGTTCCAGACCGTTCAGCGTCGTGCCTTGGAGAAGCAACGAGCGTCTGCTGCAGCAGCGCGGACTGCCGTAGACGAAGCGGACCCTGGCTCCGGGGGTGATCACCAGCAGCAGCAACAGCAAGAGCAATTGTTGGAGGAACAGCCCCGCCTTGCGAACCAGGATGAAGTGGACTTCCAGGAGGCCCTCATTATCGAGCGCGAGGCTGAGATCCGCAACATCGAGCAGAGTGTTGGCGAACTCAATGAACTGTTCCGGGACGTGGCTCACATTGTTCATGAGCAAGGTGGACAGCTCGACATTATCAGTGAGAATGTCGAACGAGTCGGCGATGACACTCGTGGAGCAAACGTCGAGCTCCGTAGCGCCAGCCGATACCAGAAGAATGCGCGCAATAAGGCCTGCTGTCTGCTTGTCATTCTTGCTGTTATCCTTACTATCATCGTCCTGGCGGCAACCCTGGGATAGACTTGAGCGTTAATTCGGTATTCTCGCTTCCACTCCCGCAACCACGACACCGGATGTCGCATATCATGACTGTCCCCTATCTTGATGATATCCTCTCGATGTACGTTTACGCATGTGCTTGTGCTTTTTTCGCTACTGCAGGCGGCTTGTTGTGTTCTGTTACGTCGATCGCTATGGGTTCTCAGGCGCATACGGAGCGAGGATGTTCTATTTACATTTGCCGTTCTATCTTCCCATGCTCTATATCATACATAGCTTCTGTTATACACGAATTGTACACTGCGTTGCTTACCCAAGACCGTTCCCAAAACTCCGTTGTTCGCCTCTGATGCAGCGTAAGAAGAAAAACATTGGGGAGCTTTACAGTCCCATAAACTTGCTGAATCTCATGCGGCAGCCCTCCACTGTGTTCAGTTTCGGCCGGACATCCAGGTAGAAGCTGAGCTTGCCGGGTCCAGCATTGGCAGCCAGGCCGGGAGCATTGTTTGCACCCGACGATTTCCCTTGGTAGAAATCGATGACATATTCGATCCTTTCACCACCACATCTCTCCACAACCCAGTCGTGCCGATCAAAGGGAAGCTGGTAGCCCATCAGGTTATTTATACGGGCACGGGGGCTCAGGAACTGCGGGTCGACACCCAGACCGCGGAAAGCATACAGCTTTGGGCCTCCACATTTCTTGCTACCGGGGTCCGACATGGGGGCCCGGCTTTCCCATTGCAAGATCTGCTGCCAGGCGCGCTCATTGACGGCGTTATGGATAGGAATGATGGATGCGACGGTAGTCGCCAGTTCGGAGGCGGAGGTTGTAGAGCTAGGAGTGTTGCCCTTGCGCACAAGAGCTTCGAAGAATTGCCGTTCTGACGGATAGATCCAGTTTCCAGTGTTCGGGTCATGACCGGTTTCAGCTTCTGCATTGGATGGGGTGCCATGCGATGCGGCCGTGGCAGCGTAAGGTGACGCAGGCGCATTTGACGAGTCGGCACTCGACGGCTGGGAGGTAGGGTCAATGGCGCGCGGTATACTGCTCACTTCACGGTCGGTTGACAGAGGCCTCTGAGATTTGCCTTTCGATTCCTGTCCATCTTCGGAGGGTAGAGGGTGAGGAGGTGCAGCGCCGCCAGATGCTTGGTGCTGCTGCAACCAGGCCTCGCGAGTTTTGTGATCAACAGGGCATACACCAGCCGCAGGCGGCTCGGGTGACGGAGTACTTGCACCAGCACCCATTGTTGTAGGTGAGGATTGGGATGGAGTGACAAACAGAGACCCGGCCGCGACACTTGGAGCGAGAGGAGTGGATGGGATAATGAGGTTTGATTGCAAATCGATTGGATCGGGCGGAAAGGCGGGCAAATTCTGGCCGCTCACCGCCTCAGGAACCCGACAACAAAAGCCCCAAACTTTCCCAACAAGGAAATCCCCCGCCTTTTCGTCGCTCGTCTTTAGCCTTCGCCCCTGAACGCTTCTCTCTATCTTCCTTCCTTTTTATATTTTATCTCCAAGTCTCTT